ACATACCATAGCCACCAGCTTTTCTTGTTTTGTACAAAAAAAATACAGAACTGTTAATGCCTCCCATTTTTTAAATCTATGGAAATCCTTGCTAGAAGATTTAGAAGCAGACACAGCCACATACCTGTTTCATGGCTCAGACAGCCACATCACCTCAGAGAGAAAAGTAAACTGAAGTCAAACTCCTAACATCCTGTTTGCTTATCATGTGACTCTTGTCAGATGCCTGGAGCAGCCAACAATAATATGACTGTTTGCTGTGACGTGTTCATAGAGAGTGAAAAGGGGCAGATACAAAAAAAATACTAATAAAAATAACTTCAACAGAGTGAGTAAATATTGGATTAAATAGTGGACTCATAGACACAAGTATGACTCCCAATAAATGATGTTTATATGTGTGCAGGGATAATATTGAATAAAGTGCTTCAAGGACAGACTAACACAGTTGGTTTTGGTGAGTTTTATTTTCTGTCACACTGTTTTGGTCTGAGATGCTGGTCCCCTGGTGCTACATCCAGTGGCAAATGAATATGGTATATATAGTATTTAACAATATTTTAAGATATTTTCAGTTAAAATAAAAAAGACCCCCCCCCAAAAAAAACCACTGGAATAAAATCACTAACATACGAGCACTTAAATGCTGAGATTTTGTAGAAATAACTGAGTAAACATAACAAGAGTACATGATTACTTATTCACACACAGCAAATGATATTTAACATTGTACATTTTGTACAAAAGTAATTTGCAGATCTATATTCTCACCATGATATAAAAAATACAGTCATCACATTAATACAACACAATGATAGAAAAAAACAAAAATATGATATTATTAGATATTTCATTAAAACTGTCTCTGCACACATTATTATTAGTTATAGTTATACATGACATTAGTGTCTCTGTCCTGTTGCTTTACTTTACTGTTACTGTTCATCATTTCTCTTATTCAGTCACAGTCAGTCTGCTGTTCATCTTGACTCCACATGTGAACTGTTGTTGTGTTTTCTCCTCCTGGACTGACTAGACTGTGATTAACTATTGTTTGGTGATGTTTCTGTTGTTTGTAATGAATCAGTATTTGTGTTTGTCTCCTCCTCTCTCTAACTGCTCTGACTGAAGTTGAATCTCTTCTCTTTGTCTCTTTGTCTCAAGTTGTTTCTTAATTTGCTTAATCTGGTTTTCTACTTTATTCTTCCTTTCTGTTATTCTAATTATCACATTTTCCGTTTTATCAAGTCTTTCTGCGATGCTCCGTATAGATGTATCATATTGTGTCTTTTTGTTGTCCAGTTCCAGTTTAACCACTAATGGCTCACTCTTTGTGTCATCCTTGTCCCAACTGAATTTACTATTCACTGACTTTAGTTTCTTCTCATTCTCCTCCCTCTCTCCCTCCAACTCCAGCAGCTGTGATATAACTTTCAACCAAAAAATGAAGAAATGACATGCAACTGTACAAAACTTTTCACAGAATAATCAAAAGGTTAAACAACCTTCTCACTATTTTTCTTCTTACTTAATTTGATATCAGTATTCTTAAACATAGTCTATGCTTTGTTCTCATTTAATACATTTGTTAGAGAGTCATAGAGATTCTCATTTAGGGGGCAGGGAATTGAAGCCAAATCAACCCCGACCAAAACTGTGCATTCATTTGTTTTAAACAGATTTGAGTGCTTATTTCCTTCCTCTAAGTCTACAGCAGTGAAAACATATGTGTCATATACTTATACTACTACTTATATACTTATCATACTCATATACTTTATCAAAGCCACCATTTTTTCTTATTTTGTAAATGTTTTGTAGAATAGGATTACGTAACAAGTATTCCCATTTGATTAGTTTAAGCTATTAGTGGAATTAAATATCCTCCTAACCCTCTCCTCTTTACCCATTCATATTCTATGCGCCTCCCCCCACCCCTTTTCTATCTATTAGTTCTTACTCCTCTTCCTACTCTCTGAAGGGTCTTGGGAGGTTCCCCTTCTTCTGTACAGGAGTGTAACTTGCTCCCTGATTGCTATACAGGGAGCTGAACCTGTTAGTCATGTCTCTCTCCTCCCAGCCAGCAGGTGCTTGGTTTGTCTGTGTGTTGGGTTTACTTAGATTTGTTTTTCACATTACCTTATTCCCTACACCTCCCTACATTTTTTTGTACTTTGTGTATAGTTCAATATTGGTTAAATAAAATTATTTTGAACTTTATTGTTGTAAACTTTGAGCAGGTTTATGACAAGGATATAAAAGGGCCACAGATAACTCTGAATCACTGCAGCAAGAACTCAGCCTTGATACATGGATGAGCTATCCAGGCACCCTTGAATTAATTTGCCACACATCCACACCCAGTGGCAATTTATTTTGTATTTAAGAATCTTCTAAGACATTTTTAATTATAATACAAATTATACAAAACAGTAACCACAAAACCACAAAAGCAGATAATTGTATTTAACTTTGTACAAATTGTCTTCAGTGAAGAAGATAGATAGATAGATAGA